TGCAACGGTGCCTACGATCGTCACGCACGATTTCAATCAAAATAACCGCGGTGTCAGCGCTGTCACCGCCGTCGTCCGCGTGCGCGCGAGCAAATATCCATTGCAAAAGTTGACTCGCGACAAGCCGATGCGTGACCTACTGACGTCAACCGTCGACATCGCTGTTGTTTTCAGAGATGCCGGCGTGTGACTAGTTTTACGTCACAACTTCCCGTTACCGGGCGATATCCCAAACAAATTTACTCGTATCTGCGCGTTTCTCCCCTCCCCAACCCCATCAGAGTTTATCAAGACCCCCTGAATGAGGTCCGACATAAAAACAGAGAGACGGACGTTACGGCAACCGATTGCCGCAATGACCAAGTGGCGAGCAAGTGCAGAACGCTCTATCGTAACTTACTGTCGCAAGCGTACACTTTAATAACATGTCTTTGGTAATTGTAGGTCAATGCAGTCAATCATAAGCCGATTACGCAAGCCGATCTAGCGAGCGGCAGATAGGTATTCAGATTAAATATTCTCCCACTTAAAGGAGCAGACGCGGCATGTTCTACATAGATAAAAGCGGGGCGCGAGAGTGCCAAATTTAGACGCATTCGCGCCTGCTGTGTCAATAGCGATAACGACGTATGTACCGATTATGGCAACCGTTTTATCGCCGGGAGCGGCGCAGATTCTTCGGACGATAAATTATGTATGAGCGCCGCTCGCGGAGCTCACCGGGCGAAGGGTAAAGGACAAAGGGCGCGGGAGGTGGTACATACGAGACAGGAATACATATTTATTCATTCAGCGGGCGCATATTTTTTTGCATAATGCAGTCTGTGCGCGCGGCGCCCCGATCGCGTCGACGTCGTCTGAAATATCGGGAGTAATTCCACCCTCGTGAAGGGGAGAAAAGAGAGAGGAAAGAGGGCGAATGCGCGACGTTCTTCGCTGCGAAACAGAGCGGGGTAACAGTTCGAGACACGAGAATCGCGCGGAGGACGCCGGCGGGGGAGGAGGGCCGGCTTACAGGAAACGACGCTACTAAAGAGACGCATAATTATCATAGTTACGCGCAGTTATGGCGGGCGCCGCGAATTGTTAAAATGTTGAGCGACGAGGAATTCCGGACGGGCTCAAAACCAGCTCGTGAATTTAGGAAATTCAGACTGCGCGGACACACGCGAAAAGAACTCGCCGGAATTAATCACCACCAACTAAAATAGCTCAACTGCGTGACATAGCTGCATCTCTCCCCTCTCCCTTCTCTCTCGTCCCCACGGCGGGTTATAAAACTATTTGCGAGAGCGTTTCATTATAATTTACATTATATCTTCGTAATGTACATTAATATGTACGCGCTGGCGTTTTCTACGTTTCGAGAACTTGCGCTCGAATTAATTCCGATCGCGCTTTGTTACTCATACTTTGCAATAATAAACCAACATTTTATACTTTCAAACAGACAAGCTAATATCTGAATTGATTGTTGCTTAATATTTAATTTACTTTTTAATTTTATTTAATTTGTCGCTGCAAAAAAGTGGGATACAGCGAAAGAGAGGTAACGTTAATAATCGAAAGCAAAAGGTGAAGCACCAAGAGGAAGTGTTGTGACAAAATAGTCTTATAAAGCAAAGAAAATTGGAGCAAATAAAAAGGGGAATTTAAAAAAATCGACCAAACTGGCAAATTGATTTTTATTTTAGTCACGACGTTTCGACCCCTTTTATCGTGTCTAAAATAAACATCAATTTTGCCAGTTTGGTCGATTTTTTTTACATTCCCCTCGGTTGATTACCACTGGCGACAAGAAGCTACTCAAATTGTCAAATAAAAAACGCTATGCATAACGCATGGAAATAACGCAAAGAAAAAGGACGTAACACAGCAGTGTTACTCGAAAGAGAAAGCGGTCGATGCAATATAAGTAGATGCCGAGGAACGAAAAGATGCGAAAGAGGAGGCTGATCCGATGGGGGATGGTAATTTATTGTAAAATTTGGCGACGCGGTACGAAAAGAAGGAGCGAAACTTAGCGGAGCGACAGGAGGGGATGAACAGAATATCGGGATAGCTAAGAAACTCGTGTCCGGAAACGCACCGTTTACGAGCTGCAGACTGGAACTGTTGGTATTTCAGTAATAGGAATAATTTTCATAATAACTTAATTTAAGAAATAAAATAAGTGTAGAAACGATCTTACTGGCACTTCTTTATTATATTACAAATTCACAACGTTTCGGCCAGTAATACTGGTCCTCTTCAGGTAACAAACTTACATAAGTACCCGCAAATGTAGGATTCGTCAAAGTTAAAGATGTAAAATTATGTCAAACGTCAGAGACTTCTCTGTACAACATAATTTTACAATTCTTTAACTTTGACGAATCCTACATTTGCGAGTACTTATGTAAGTTTGTTACCTGAAGAGGACCCGTATTACTGGCCGAAACGTTGTGAGTTTGTAATATAATAAAGAAGTGCCAATAGGGTCGTTTCTACACTTATTTTATTTCTCGACTGGCGTCAATACAGATGGCTACAACCCATCTGTCCCCAAATACTTGGCTGCTGTAGTCTCCGATGATGAGTGAAAAGTGTAGTGGCGCACCGTCTTGTTGCCACCGCATCTGTTGACGAAATTCAAGTGGTACGTCTTCCAACGAATCTATGAGCATTTATTGTAGTCAGTTTTGACATTGCTAAACATTCTGGTAATGTGAGCAAATAAAGTTATTATGAAAATTATTCCTATTACTGAAATACCAACAGTTCCAGTCTGCAGCTCGCAAACGGTGCGTTTCCGGACACAAGTTCCTTATTAAAAGTTGGTCTACTTTGAACCCCCTACCTGCCCTAGAAGTTTGTTACAGGTTATTCATTAACACCCTGTATTCCGTTTTCCTTAACATGGATACGTTGATTCGCGTCGTCGAAGATACCAGAAGCGTTTCTCGCTTCGCAACGTCAAGTATTTCGGCGACTGCAATCGATATGAAATTTTGACAAGCAAGATTTAGCAACAAACGCGCGTTCACACATACCGGCACTTTGATCGCAACTGAGACCAACTATTTGATGAATGGTCGCGCGTCGAGGCAGCTGGAGCCCGAGCTTATAATATCGCGGAAAGTATGCGCCCTATGCACCGAACCTTGCGGCCAACTAAATATTTGGCCGCACTGCGGGCAGATCTGCTAAAATTGTCCGGTATCCCACGCCCGTCCTCAAAATAGTTAACAACAATCGATAGACCGCTATTTTGAAACAAAGTGGTGACAATGCATTGTTTGCGAAATTGCAAAAGACGCGCCATTCCCCGCGTCCACCGCCGTTATTGGCGACGGTGGGGGCGGCGCAAATTTTATTACTTTAAAATGTCCCACCATTTTTAATAAATAATAAATATACATATATGAATAATTTCAATAAAAATAGTAAATTAGCTTTGTCCAACGATAAAATATTACATTATTTTAGATGCCATACTCCGATGGAAATATTTTGCTGAAAATATACTATGCAATCGATGAAAAATGAAATAAAAGTTACTGGAGAATTGCCGAACGTATCTTAAAATGAATCATAATTTTCCTTATAAAATTCAACGTAATGTTGCAAAATATAGAAACAGTTCGGACGGTTGTTGAAAAGTAATGAAATAATGATAAACTTTTGATAGATATTACGAAATTTAACTAAAACTTGTGTTAATAAAGAATTTTTGAATTTTCCCCGAAATATCGATGAAATGATGATAATAAAACGGGGCCAATCGAGGGAGCTTCAAATACGTTGCGGTAGAATTTTATATTGTATTTTCGATGAAATATTTCCACCGGGGACAGAGTCGTCTCTCTTTCTCAATTTTATAAACGAAGAAACGAGCCTTGTTTGCCTTATTCGAAATTTCGGGCGAGCCTCGACTTACCGGGCACGTCAAGTCCCGTACGCGATACGCGCGAGCGTATGCTCTCGGACACCGGGCCACGGCGTTTAATATTTACTATGCGGGCCACGTTACAGTAGTTACGACACGATGGATCGGAGTAATAATACCGGCCGGCACGCCGGTACGCTCACTCATATTTCATGCTCTTAATACAGTTCCAACGTAATATTACCTCGTCGCCGGGGCGGGCGTCCCTTTTCCGGCGCCGAAAGTTGCCAATAATTTTACGTAATCGCTTCGCATCGTCCGGCGGCGTCTCGTCCCGCGGGATCTTAATGCACGATTCGACAGATCGACGTTCGGCGATACCGCCGTCGAATTATTGGACAGAACAGCCGTCGATTGTACAAATAAATAACTTATTGTTTCATTATTTACCCGAAGCTAATGTGCCTCCAACTGTTGTCCGAATGTCCGCCTGTCGACGCGCGCGAGCCTCAAGGGATTCGTGGCGCCATCTTCGGTAACATTCGAAATTATTTCGACAGAAATGCGTCCAACTGTCGGTAACATCGACTCGGAAATTTTTTACCCAATATTTGATTATTTACACCAGAGCTGT